GGGAAGGAGGCAACGCCACCTTGCGCATACACCCAGCCACTGGGGAGAGAGTCCTGAAGCAGGGGTTTGGGTGGGGCAGCACCCACCACTTCAGTCCCAGTGGTGGCTTTGGGGGATGTGGTAGCTGCTGCGAGTCCTCTACCCAGTATCCACTCCTTCTTTTTCCTTGTTAAGAGGTGCCTGATTGGAGACAGCAAGATGCCCAACAAAAATACTCACTTTTCGAGATTCCTTTGCAATGGAGGTGGGCCAAGGGATCCTGTTCTGGCCAGTAAGATGTAAATAGCAGTCTGGGTTCCTGATGACATGGTAGGGCCACTAGAGAAAATGAAAGGCTTTGTTTGCTTAACCACTGTACTTAGGTTTCTGTTGCATGTAACCCAATAGTCCTAAATAGTTATGAGAGGCACCATCACATCCTGCTTAAGAACATGGTCCTTCAAGTTAAACGGCCAGTAGCTTGGAGTCCCACCTCCACTGCACGCCAGCTAGCTATGGGAGACCTCAGATGAGTCACTCCATCAGACTTAGCTGTCTCTCGAAAGTGGGAATGATGGTACTACCTAAGACGTGTCTCATGTCACACTGGGGTAACCAGGTTGTCCCAGCGTGCCTGGAACTTGCTCAGTTTTAGCAAGGGGATTCCCGCATCCTGGGAAACTCATCAGTCCCAGGCAAACCGGGACAGCTATCCTCCCTATTAAAACACATCCCCAAACTACCCTATCTCTTTTACAGATACAAGCCTACAGGCTGAAGGCTAAAATGAAGGCTAAAAATGTTTGCCACTATCCCCTAATGGCTCAGTATAATATAGCATCACAGCCAAGATTAGTTTTACATTATATAATAGTTTTTTCTTAACAAAAATGGCAACCACAGATGGTCAGAGGCACAGTTGGAATAGTCTCCTGTTCATTTAGATTTAAATTTATAACAGTTGTAACCCCACTATGTTTTAGTACTCACTGATATTCACCAGCAAATATGGTATATTGTAGCGCTATTGGGAGGATTAAATGAGTCTAGGAAAAGCCTTTTCCATGGTGTGTTACACAGCACACACACTGTAAAGTTCACATACGCCTGGGTTAGACTCTAGGCTTTGACTCTTCCTTTGGAAAAGTCACTTCATCCCCTGCCCCCAACCCCCAATCCAGCCTCTTTCCTCATTTGTATTAGGGGTAATAGGAACTTCTTGAGAGGGTTGTTTGATTGATAAATGCTTGTGGGGCTCCTCAAGGGAAGCATGAGCCCACAATGGCCTCAGGCCACCCCCTGCTGAGGGGCTCTGCAGCTCTGGGAGGAGCCCAGCGGACCCTTCAGGAACACCTGCTCCTCGTCAAGGCCAGGCTCAGCTGGCAGATGGGCTTCAGGGGCCAGGAAAGCCTGACCAGACCCTCGGAATTCAGCTGGTTCCTCTTAAGCAGAAGCTATTATTATTCATGAGATGGCCACAGGGCAGGCACTATACAGGGGTACAAGCCCAACATTTAGTTCAGTGGCCTTGAGCAATGGGAGCTAACTGGTGCCCAGGCTGGAACTCTGGCCACCATCCAAGCCAGAACTGCAATGTAAACCCTGGCTGTTCTCTGCTTTCGACTTGCAGCTGTGTTTAAACACACTGGGCTACACCCACACTAGCTGGGCTGCTTAATCTTTTCAGAAGGCTTCCTGAGGATTCACAGAAATGGAAGCATGCATCCCCGCCTCTCCAGTATCAGTCTAGGGGTCCTAGAGAAAGGAATCACTTTTTCTTTCCAAAGCCTAATTCTGCTATAGTTTCGAAGATCCTCCAATAGGCTTAATAGTAGTATTAAGTTCTTCAATTCTGTTTATAAATGAAAGTGGAGAATACTCTAGTATATTAATAAATATCTGTAGCTATATTGAAAAAAGGGTTAACTACTCAGTTGGGCTACAAAATTAACACATACAATTGCTGGCTTCTGCTTGTTCTGTGTACCTCAAAAGCCTATGGCCCCATTTTAGTACCTTGGTTTTAAGTTTCAATCTCGTTCATTTTTTTTT